CGGCGCTATTCTAAGTAATAAACTCAAAAACTAGAAATCACAGATTTCGCTGTCAATTTATCTAGGGGGTAATTCGACCTGCTAATCACGAGAGTGACATTCATTTTGCTGGTGGGGTCTTTTTGAGGGGTTACGGAGGTATACGGTACGAGGTCAAAATCTTAGAATTTGCTAGAACTTTGCATAAGGGGAGTTGTTCGACGAGCCGATCACGAATATCACACTTTTTCCGCACGAAGACGTATCCTGTATGCTTACGATAGTTCTACGGTAGGGGTCAAAATCTAGATTTGGGTGGAATCTGGTCTGGAGGGGTTGTTTGGCAATATAAATATCATATTGGCTTTGCACGGTAGCGCCATGTTTTCGAGTTACGGTGTGTGTACGGTATGCAGGTGAAAATTCCAAACTTGTTCAAAACGCTGCCTAGGGTTTTGAACATGTTGATAACAAATATCAGGCTTGCTCGCTATAACAAAGCCTTATTATGGAGTTATGGCAATTTTCAGGGTTTAGGTATGGTGCATCCCTCAGAACTGAAGAATATGAACCATCAACGTGACTGTCATTTGATCATTCAACATGTCAACTTCGAATAAGCGCCTCAGATTTGCTGGAGTTAACGTGTTAAAATGATTGAAAAGCAGCCACTTTAATGGTTCATATGGGAACAATGCTGGGGGATGCACGATAAGCATCTTCCCCGTTTCCCGGAGCAAAGATCCAGGAAATCCATGAGAAGGCTTTATGAGCGAAATTAGCGCGGTATTCGTGATGAGCACATCAGATAACACCCCTGCACAAAGTTTCAGACAGATCCAGGGCTTTGACCCGTGGCGCCCCCCCCCCTCCGAGAATGGGTCGCGAAATTTTCGAATGTTACTTAAATGTGTTATAAAATTGTGCAGAGGACATGTATTATTTGTAAATAATTAAATGATTTTTAAAAATTCTTTAAAATTCAAATTAGCCTTGCAAAGAAATTTATTCGAGGGCATGGCTACCGCCACGCCCCTTTTTTCCGAAATTTTGGGGTCAGGGGCCCGGAAAAATTTTGGGAAACATCCCAAAAAAATTTTCGGAGTGCGTGGCTAATGCCACGCACCTCCAGTGAAAAAAAAATTTTGTCGCCCCCCCCCGAGCCGAAATCCTGGGTATGCCACTGCTTTGACCCCTTACCATATACCTACACAATAAGAGGTTTTCGTGCGGGAAAAAGTGTGGTATTTGTGATTAGATGTCGAATAACCCCCCTAGTAAAGTTTTAGCGAATTCTGAGATTCTGACCCCATACCATGTCTACCGTAACCTTACCATGAGGCGTTTTAGTGGAAGCTGAATATGGTATTCGTGATCGGCATGTCGATTATCGCCCCATATCGCATGCCTATCGTAATCCTTCAGAAAAAGCCCACCATGCAAAATAAATATTGTCGCCTGCACGAAATCGCCCGGGTTGTAGTTGGCTGAACGCATGCGAGCGTGCCTGCAACGCGGCTGCCGAGTACGCTATGATGACTCATGGCGCCAGTCACCAATACTGGCGACTGTGTCTTCCATGCGTATCGATCGCTAACAAGTTACCATACGTCCAACCGATACACATTTAATGTGTAATCGCCAACACTGCGACGGTCGATCGCCATATCGGCGACAAAAATCGCCGGGTTTACACGTATTTGATGCATATCGATCGTCGCCATGCTATACTCCTCCAGGACTATAGCGCCTGCCTAAGCGAATTCTCAGAGAAATCCGTGATTTTCAGTTGTCGGGTTGTCTTAAGTGAATTAGTACAGTCGAGTAGTTTTCCGCTCAATATAGTGTGCTTGCACTGAATGTGAAATGCGGTAAATTTGCGCGTGAGCAAGTAGCCACACCAGTAACGCCAACACTTTGCGCGCGCAAATGGCCGGCGTCACATGCTAGCTATTTCCTTAGGCACCCGCCATAATCCCCTCCACAGATCGTGCTACCCTTGGTCTGCGTCTCAGACCTGCCACGTGTGGCTAACATGTTGGCAACATGGCAACAACATGTTTGCAACACGCCCCAACATGTTGGCAGAACATTTTGGCCACGCTAACATGTTGCTGCATGTTGCCAACGTGTTGCTGCCAACGTTGCCAATGTGTTAGTCACACGTGGCACGTCCGCGACGCCACAAGGGTAGCATGATCTGTGGAGGGGACAATACTTGATCCGCTCAATTCGCTTGATCCGCTTGATCCGCTTCATCATTGGTCAATTCAGTGAACTGACCAGTAGTGAAGTGGATGAAGTGGATCAAGCGGACAACCGCTTCGCTATTGCTCAATTCAATGAATCGACCAATGACGAAGCGGATCAAGGGATTAAGCGGATCAAGTATGGCGGGTGCCTTACGCACAGATTTTACCGCACTTCACCTTCAGTGCATGCACACTACATTGAGCAGAAAATCTACTCGACTGTACCTACCGTGTATATTAGAAGGACACATCTGTATGTGTGCAGTGGTCTTTCCACGAAGTAGACATCACTCTGGCAGCCGGCACACTTGTCCGGTTGCCAGTTCGTCCTCATTCACCCGTATGCTACTGGTCATTTCAGTGATTTGACTAATAGCGAAGGAGTGAACCGCATGAACCGATTGAACCGGATAATTCTGGCGCCTATCTCTTGCTTCGTAGAGATAGCGTCTGCTTTCATTTGTCATTTTCATTGGTTTCTTTTCGTTTTGCTATCTTCCTTCGTAGCGAGTTATCTCGGGATTAGTCCTTCTCAAAAAAAAAAACTTAGGATACCTTGTTGGTGGGGTCAATTGAGCCTAGGTCAGTTCTTTGTTTATAGGCACGCGCCGTTTCCATGGGGTTTCCCTCCTATTCTCGGGAGCTGTAATAGATCTCTTTCCTCGCTCTACAACCACTGAACAAGTTGAAGTTCACAGTCGGTGTCAATCACGTGCTCCTTTTTCCGCAGCACTATGCATCCGCAGCGCGTGAGCATTGCGCAGCGATCTTCGATCGAGTGGAAAGATTGAACGCTCAAGCGGTACGCTCCGGACGCGATATAGGATTCTCGCGTCACGCTTGAGCTAATCGGAAAAGGAACACATCGTTGACACAGACTTTACGTAGAGCTTTCTCATTTGGAAGCGGCGAAACAGCGCATCGCTTCTTCATTGGTAATCATTAAGTAAATGTCTTAAATTCTCAACTGTCTGCAAATAAGCCAGATGTTTTGTTTCTGGTTTGTGAGATAAATAGCCTGAACTGTAGTTTGCGATTATGTCAGACGAAACGACCTCTTGACCGTTTCTGCCATCTTGGCGAATTACAGTTTTAAACGTCGCGCTGGCGAACTCCAATCATGACAAATTTGTTGCTCTATACCCTCTACATATCCTGCGCAATCTACCATAATTATACCAAAACAGCCTATGATGAACAGTTATGAAGTTTCAGCAAGCTTTTCTAATGCTGTTTGTCCCGCCATTGGACGCCTCCCTCCGGGGACTACTGATGGTCCTTACACGCTTGCAATGCATGTGCGGAAGGAAGAGTAGTCCGTGGGGACAGCGTCTGATCGCGTCTTCTTCCAGAAGAGTGGATGAAAAAGTTACCAAGCGGATCGCGTATGATCCGTTCCGAGACTAGGAGACAGTAGGATACTGTGTCGCCGATAGTCTCCACTCCTCTCGGACATCTAGTACAAACCGTAATGCTTAGGGGGTGTGGAGCTGCGTGCTTTGACGCACATGTCCGCGTGAGACCAACCCCTTCCGGAGAGATATAGTTTTCCGCCCCTAGGAGACTCGAGAATGGTTTATACAGTCGAGCAGGTTTTCCGCTCAATATAGTGCGCTTGCACTGCAGGTAAACTGCGGTAAAGTTTGCGCGTGAACAAGTATAGGCCGGCCGCACAGGGCGCGGAGAGTGCGCCAGGTGTGTATTGCGCGTCACTCCTCTTTCCTCGTGCACTCTCGCCGCCTGTTTTCTCTGCGCTTCTTCCGGTCGTGAACTACCTTCAGTGTACGCAAGAGCGTTGCTCTACGTGCGCAGCGCGGACGGCCTATAGCCACAGCAATACCGGCACTTTGCGCGCGCAACTGGCCAGCGTCACAGGCGTAGCTTTTTGTTTACGCGCAGATTTTAGCATTTTACCTGCAGTGCAAGCACACTATATTGAGCGGAAAATATACTCGACTGTAGTTTGGTTGACATGCTCAAACTTGTCCTTCTTTGATATAATTGGCAAACCGCTCATAGTGAAATAATGCACATGCTTCAATAGTTGTTCACGCATGCGCGTTTTCGAGTAACTTATTTTATTGTTAGGATGAATAATAAGTTTGATTTCTGGCGGCTGCCCTTGTTCTGCGTCTTTGCCCTGCGACACGTATGGCTAACGTGTTGGCAACATGCAACAAAATATTGGCAGTATGCCACTTCCTGCTGACTTCTGTTTGAACGCTAACTTCTTGTTGCATGTTGCAAACGTTGGCTATATGTGCCGCACACCAGAGACGCGGAGCAGGGGTAGCAGATTTGTGAAGGGAACGATAGATATCATTCATTGTCTGACTAAGAGACGCGAGCACGCTTTGCGTAATTTGATCAACAAGTTCATGGATGAGTTCTAACGCGTTTTGGTTTATTACTATCAGAAATTCTTGAAAGAACGTGTTCAAGCCAGCGTGGTTTAACGAGCTCAAACATGTCCTTTCACGAGTTCCAATAGTAAATCAACCAAAACGCACCAAAACACATTCATGAACTTGTTAATGAAATGTACGCAAAGCGTGCTCGCGTCTCTTAGTCAGAGAATGAATCTTCTTCTAGATTCGTATAGGACGGAGTCGTGGCATCTCAAAGTAACCTGGGGGTCAAACCATTTTGTCCACGTTATCAGAAATGAGGGACGCTCCGCCCCTATACGAATTTGGCAGTAATATGTATTGGTCGTACAGGTTTTGTTTGTTGCCACAATAAGGCAAATTAAATCATAATTCAGGAGTTCTCGACATGCTGTGCTATGGTCCTGTCGCTTGGTGGGAGAAGATCGTTGTGCAGCTCATTGTCCTGGGTGCTATGTTTTTCTATCTGGATCTGGTAGAGAAGGCGCTGAACTTGCTGGTAAGTTGTGAGAAACAGCTGATATCAAGCACTAATGACCTGTTTTAGTTGGAATACTTATCTCGCAAGTTTGAACATAGACCTTCGATCCCAGAGAATCTAGCACTGCGCGTGCGTCCTGCAAAGTCGCGCTCGCATGCTGCGAAGTTGAGGAGCGATAAGGTCGTCGTCATCGATGAACAGGCTCGTCCGCTGCCCTAAGGATTTGAAGAACTCACGAAGCTCATACTACACATCGTGTTTTCATTAGAAAAACAATCTCTAACCTTAACTTCCGGGTCTATCTTGTTACTTTTCATTTTATGATGTCCTTATGCGTAATTTGCAAACAGTTTTAGAATCAGAAAAGCTTCATCGACAATGAACTTGTTGCGAAGTAGACTGTCACGATTCTGTTGACACAAAACACGAATGAATTTACAGCGTGCTGTGGAGATGTTAAACCATGACTTGGAGTAATTCAAATTATTCTGATGTCTAATTTATCTAGTGGTCCTTTGTAGCCACGCGCGCTTCCCAATTTCACAGCGCTGGTATCTAGTAGATTTACCTCTTGCTGGAGCGTCATGCAATATCGAGATTAGACGACAAAGTACAGGGCTTTACAACCAGAGTGTCCCACCCGCCCCGCTAGGACGCCACGCTTAGGTCCGCGCGGCGTTCGTGGCGCTGGCTGCGCGTCGACTGAAGCTTGGCGAAATCCGGGCGATACGCAGCAAACGCCGCGCGCGGCCTGAGCGAGGCGGCCGCGTTGGAGGAGCCGCGCAAGCGAAACTTGCGACTCTCAGGTTGAAAAGCCCTGTATGTGCGTTAACAAGCAGCCAAGCAGTAATGCCAGCGCTTTGCGCGCGCGAGAGGCCAGCATTAAGCCTGAGGCATACCTCACGCGATTCGGCCGAATCGCCACTTTCACGCGACTTGGCGATTTTCCAGATTTCTACAAATTTATCGTGCGCGCTTCTCGGACGTATATTTGGGTAGCTTGTGCAAGTTGCTGCAAACCGAGCAAGTTCTGACCAAACGCAACGCATAAACGACGATTTACGAAGAGTCGCCGTTGTGCCAAATCGCGCGAGATATGCCTTAGGCCTCGGGCAGAGTTCACGCGATTTGGTTGTCACGACTGATCGCGACAAGACAACTGTAACAATATCATTGCATGCCGATGTTCTTGCATTTCGGTTGTGATAGTTTTCCAGCACGACTAATCGTGACTAACTATCACAACCGAAATACAAGATCGGCTTGCAATGAACTCATAACACTTGTCTTGTAGCGATTTAATTGCGACGATCAAATCGCGTGAACTCTATCCGAGGCCTTAGGCCTTACAGGCGTGGCTATTTGTTCACGCGCAAATTCGGTCGCCATTCTCGGCTCCGCAAGCACACTATACCGAGGGAAAAATCTACAAGAGTGTATTTTGTGACGTAGAGTTCGTTGAAATGAATTACAACAGCATGGCGCCACCCAGATTCTCGATTTCGATTTTCGTTTCCACACTTCTCATGGTCTCGGTCCCTGATATGAAGTTCAGCTAGCGCAGAAATCCGATGAAAACACTTTTGGATTTGCTTTTAAAAGGTGTAAAAGGAAGAAACGACGCTGTTCCATCAGGCTTTGGACATACCTTGCGCGATTGCCGATCGCGTAATTGCTGTTAACGCGCGATTTGGCACTGCTACGATGGCTCATGTTCTTCGTGAGCGCATTTTCACTAAGCAAGGCTTTACAGGTTTGCGTCAGTAAAGGCTATTGCAGTACGAAGGCGCAGAAGCAATGTTAGTTGAGCGGGCCCAACGCGGCGCGCGTATCTTCATCTTTAAATCCTGCGCCTCATGCGCTATATGGCCAATCAAGCCGCGTTCGCACCCAAAGATATTGCGTCTTCGTTAAGCAGCAGCTCGTATACAATTTATGTCAACCGCGTGCTCCCTTTTCCGTAACTACTACTACTACGCATACGCATCGCTGGGCATTGCATAGCGATCATCGATCGATGCGGCAGGTTTGAATCTCAAGCGGTACGCTCGCGAACGACAAGGGACTCTAGCGCTACACCTGTGCTAATCGGAAAGGGAGCACATTTGACACAGACTGTACAGGGCTTTTCAACCTGAGAGTCGCAAGTTTCGCTTGCGCGGCTCCTCCAACGCGGCCGCCTCGCTCAGACCGCGCGCGGCGTTTGCTGCGTATCGCCCGGATTTCGCCAAGCTTCAGTCGACGCGCAGCCAGCGCCACGAACGCTGCGCGGACCTAAGCGCGGCGTCCTAGCGGGGCGGGCGGGACACTCAGGTTGTAAAGCCCTGTACAAGACGTACAGTCTGCCCCAATCTTAACCAGGCCAAAATTGGCATGGCGGGAGTCCGCATCGCTAGGGTTTTGCGGTCACGCCCACGGCCTGCTTCTCTGCTCTCTCTTCAATCCTTTTGCTCCCTCCGACAGCGCGCCCACGCAGCGCAGACCGCTAGCGCTGCGAGCGCGCAAATTCACGCCGACGATTCGGCCTGATCTCAATTGGGGCAGACTGTACAGTCCGTGTCAATCACGTGCTCCTTTTGGCTCCGGTCAGACTTCACGCGACTTAGTCGTCGCGACCAAATCGCCAAGATTTCCATTCATTTTCATTTCACATTCAAAAATGTCGGCCTGGAAAAGTATCACAACCGAATGCAAGTTGATCGACATGGAATGATGTTGTAACAGTTGTCTCGTGGCGATTCAGTCGCGACGATCAAATCGCGTGAAGTCTGCCCGGGGCCTTTTCCGTACATCCAGTGAGCTTCGCGCCACGTTCGCGTGCGTATGACTAGGGCATTCAAGTGGGCCTTATTGATCGGAGGTCCGCATGCAGGACCCTTGCCTTGCGCATGCGTAGTTCCCATGCGAAAGGGAGTATTACGTAATTGACATCGACTGTATGCGCACGAGGTCTGCCCGCGGCAGATTTTTAGACACTGAGCAAACCGCCGACGATATTGACGTAGGGTAGGGCAAGGTATCGTGCATCCCCCAGAATTGTTCGCATAGGTATATCAACGTAGGTGCCTTTCGATCCTTTCAACATGACAAGTTTAAATAAGCGTTTTAATTTTGCTGGAGTTGACTTGTTAAAACAACTGGAAGGCAGCCACGTTAATGGTACCTATGGGAACAATTCTGGGAATGCCATACGACCGAGGCCGCAGACGCAAGCAGACGCGTTGACATGGCAAACGCAACCTATGGAGGGAATTGGTTTTTATGTGCTTGCCGTGTCAAAACATATCAGCGACACCGGAGAGAAGGGCAGCCTGCTCACCTTCCGATATTCCGAAGCAATTTTCTGAAATCTCTCCATCCATTCCAACAACTTCAAGTCGAGAGATTTCCCACACTACAGGTGGGCCTCCCCATCAGCGAATGGGTACACCACTCTATTGTTGCCCTTGCGCTGGACGTGGTTTAAATACACCATAAACACACCCTGAAACCAGTGAGTGGTGCTTGCTATACTTGAAAAATACGAAAAAATGCAGAAAAAATTTTCCCTGACAGATGCGCAATCATTAACCATTAAAATCTGGGACTTCATGTGCATTGTACAGTCGAGTAGATTTAGCGGTAAATATAGTGTGCTTGCACAGAAGGTGAAATGCGGTGAAATTGGCGCGTGAAGAAATAGTTTCGACTGTGACGCCGGCCAATTGCGCGCGCAAGATGCCCGCGCTACTGACGTGGCTACTTGTTCACGCGCAAATTTCACCGCATTTCACCTTCTGTGCAAGCACACTATATTTACCGCTAAACCTACTCGACTGTATGTAGATGGTGTGTGTATCAGTTAGGCTAGGTTATCGAGGCTACATATAGCGCTTATCAAATTGAGTGTCGTTTGCACCAGCATCTCCATCTTCGCGCTGGGCTCTGCGTCTCTTCTGCGGTACTTGCTCCCTGATCACTTCCATTCGATTGATGCTCCGCCTTTCCCACGCTCGCCCTGGGAAAGCGCTCAGAGAGCAGCCCGGCGGAAGAGACGCGGAGTCCAGCGCGAAGATGGAGATGCCGGCGCAAACGAACTCAATTTGATAAGCCCTATATGCTTTTTAATGGAAATGGGTTACAATCTTCGCTCATAGCTCTGTCAAAGCACAAGAGGACAATGCCAAGCATATCAAAAGGACAGGGGCCGTTTCATACTGCTGGTCTTGCCCCGAAACAAATATTGCCAATCGTAGGGATAGCGTCTGCTTTCACTTATCATTTCCGAAGGTTTCTTTTCGTTTTCTTCTATTTTCCCGTGGTATATAGTCCGTTTCCTCTTCCATTGTCAGGGATCTTCGTTTTTCTCTGCTGTGTGAAACATCTGAATGTGAGACTAGGAGGCTCTAAACTTTGCACACATTTTCAAACAAGCTTTATCGTGTGACCAACAAGTTTGTGCTTGTAATCGTTCTCGTATAGGAACTATTTGGTATGCGGTCAGGGAAGAACGCGTTCAGGCTTGTTTGTACAATGGCAAAGCAATGGGCCTCCTCATTTTTCCTCACCAAATGATATCGTCCTCTCCCCACAGTATAGCGGGCGGAGCTTTGCCGACGTTTGCCAACGTATTCGCGCGGCAGTTTTTGGCAGCTAGAGAGTACAAAAACTTATGCTTTAGAATGGAGGTTCAACAAGTTTTTCAACGTGTTCAAATGTCTGCACGGCCACGCCCGCTATACGCATGGGAAGCGCCTATATCTTAAGAGCCGAGCATACATCACGCGATTTCACCTCGCTATTCTCCCGATAAGACAACTGTTACGAGTGTATTGCAAGCCAATCATTTTCGTTAGGTTGTGGTAGTGACAAGACAGTCGCGATTAATCACAATCATGCAAATCGGCATGCAATGGACTCGCAACAGTTGTCGTTGTGAATCGCGAGGCGACGAAATCGCTTGATGTATGCCCGGCCGTTTAAGGTTAAAATGTCGTTTTCTTTTTGATGCAGTGCGTTAATTCAACGGTAACTTCAACTGTATAGGAGCTCTCGACATGCTTTGTACTATGGCATTTTGGGAGTATCATCTCTTGCTGATTATGGTCATAATCGGTTTGATTTCCTTTTTATATTCTTCTTATCAACTTCTCAACTGGCTGGTGAGTTGTAAGAAGCAGGTGGCTTTGAGATGTAATTACTAACTGTTTAGTTCAATCACTATACTTGCGAGTGTGTCGATGCACCTCCGAATACCGCACAGAATCCACAGCGCTCGTATGTTGTAAAGCCCAATCGTGAGGTCGTCGTCGTTAACGAAGAGGCTCGTCCGCTACCTTACGAGAATTAGAAGGGCTCATACTACATCACCTTACTTCCAAGTGTGCCTTTTCTTTGCCATTCTGGGATGTTGTTACGCATATTTTCTCCATACAGTTCCTTAAATCAGAGAAGCTTGCTAACGACAGCATTGGTCTTGTTACAAAGTAAATTGTTATGATTTTCATTGATGACACAGCACAAAAATTTGAATTGTAAAATGACTGATCTGACAATATAGTCTCACTGTGATGGCGAGATTCGATAAAATCTTTGCGTGAACAAATACTTATAGTCTGTCCCAATCGGGACCAGGCCATTAGCGTACAGGACCTTTCAGTATGAGTGTCACGGTCGACGTGGTTCAACTCTTTGCGATCCGCCTCGCGTCGGTTTCTCACGTGGTACAATGACGCATCCGCTAAGGCCTTCTCGGCATCCGGTGCGGTGTTGAACCACGTGGGAAACCCAAGCGACGCGGCTCGCAAGGAGTTGAACCACGTCGACTGTGACACTCAGACTGAAAGCCCCTGTAAATTTGCGCACTCGCTGCGGTAGAGATTTGCGCTGCATATGCGTACGCCGGGGAGACCGAAAATATCGGAGAGTAGCAAGCAGGCCATAGGCGGAGCAAAACCTCGCGAGCGGACTCCCGCCATGCTAATTTTGGCCTAATTGGGATTGAGACAAGCTATACACTGTATTTTGCACGCGCAATTTGTTCGCTTTACAGGCGCAGCCATTTGTACACGAGCAAATTTTGTCTTCCTCTATCTACTCCGGAAGGACAATATATCCACCATCTGGCCTACAGGGCTTACCAGTTGAAGTGTCGGGCACCCGCATCTCCACGTCCGCGCGGGACTCTGCACCTCTTCCACGAACATGCTCTCTAATCACATGCAGTCAAATGAGGCTGCGCCTTTCCCACGCTCGCTGCGGAAAAGGATCAGAGAGCATGTTTGCAAAAGACTGCAGAGTTTCGCGCGGGAGTGGAGATGCTAGCGCACCCGACACTGCAGTTGATAAGCTCTGTATACAACATGCAATGCGACTATCGAAGATTGGTACAGTCTGCTCCAATCGGGATCAGGCCGAACCGTCGGCGTAAATTTGCGCGCTCGCAGCGCTAGCGGTCTGCGCTGCATGTGCGCGCTGTCGGAGAGAGCAAAAAGATTGAAGAGAGAGCAGAGAAGCAGGCCGTGGGCGTGACCGCAAAACTCTAGCGACGCGGTCTCCCGCCATGCAAATTTTGGCCTGGTTGGGATTGGGGCAGACTGTATAACCGAGGCAAATCATGTTCGCCAACGTCAACGCCATCTTTACATCGGCTTTCAAACTATGAGTAGGTGCAACTAATTACACGCATGGGCGGGCCGTGTCTGCGACCCGCAACGCGCGATTGAAGCGCTGCGAGAGCACAATAAGGCAATCTGTGGTGGTACGCAAATCTGGCTTCGCATGCTCCGCAGCGAGGGCCAGTCCATGCGGTTGAATCAGGCAAACGCCAGACTTATCCAATCCACCCAGCTCATCCGATTCATCCATTCGCTATTGGTCAATTCACTGATTTGGCCAACAGTGAATTAGGTGGATCAAATGAACAGCTTGAACTAATAAGACACTTGTTTTAGCTCTGTCCGGCAAATTGCACAATTGCGTTGCGACGGCGATTTGGGCGAATCGGCCAGGGTATGATTGGGGAATGAACTGTAACTCCTGTTATGCTCAAGAGGGTACATAGTCAAGTATCTTATGTTGTTCTCTTCGGCGCTGACGCAGTGAATTTAAATGACGCAAGCAAAATAGTTCGTTCAAGATCACCTCACTCGCTCAGACAATCGGTGCCGTAGCTCCGGAGGACAGTCGAAATCAGGCAGAGCTGCGGAGGACCCAACTGACCCTTAAGAGCGGGGCAAGGGGGCGGTCCCTTCCTATCACGGTGACGTCACAAGAAAACAGATGGGACCCCTCAGGCGGGCTTGCAAACCTGTGCTCCGGAGGTACGCCAGATCTGGGAGAGTCCCGGAGCACAGATTTGCGCCCCGGAGGTACGCCCGATTTGGGACACCTCCGGAGCACAAATTGGGAGGGCTCCGGGGCACGAGTAGCAAACCCCCGCTGGGCAAACCCCGCGGCTCTGCCATTTCTGCTCCGGAGGTATGCCGTCGACTGTCTGAGCGGGTAGTCGCATGATGATTCAAGTGTGATCTACAGGGTGTCCCAAAAGTATTTATGTATACACTGTTCGATCCCTAATATCTCTCTTCCTAAAAAGTCCTTTGCTTTTCTTCATTACCATTTGTAGAGCTGACTTCAACTTAGATTTACAGTATGGAGCAAAACCCGATTGTTCCTTGTTAACGTAAAATTACGGACCTTAGCATACAGCACCATTGAGAAAAAGGCGCTTAGAAAATTTCCTTCGAAAAATCCTGGAAAGTTGTATAGTAAGGTTTCCACACGTGCTGACTTCTTTGAAAAAATTCTCACGAGTTTTTTTTAGGCTTTCTTAACAGTGTGATGACGTTTTGAGGGAGTTTGAAAAAGCAGTTTTGTCGTATATCTCACATAACTCAAGAACGCACTCAAAAAGCATTGCAGTTTAATGCAAATTTGATATTTGGCCTCGCGGTTCTGAGTGATTTGGTGTAAAATTTTCAGCTTGTTTGGTTTTTTTTCTGAGTCAAGATTTGGACCTGAACGGATCAAAGCCCGCTCCGAAGTTTCAGTAATTCTACAGTAACGAAGCGCGTTCGACTTTCTTGGGAGAGACATCAACCTCCAAACGGTGTATACATACTTTTGGGACACCCTATGCCAATAAATCTAGTTTGGTCCAAGCCGGACCAAATTGAATTTGATTGGTATACAGTCTGCATATTCGCCAATCGAATCGTGCTCAAATAGCGCAAGTTATTTGTCTGTATCCGAATGCAACAAAATCAATGGAGAAATTCAAAATTTGAATAACTTTAAAATTTCGGGGTGTGGAGGTTATGAACTGAAAAATTTGAACGCATCCTCAAAAAAAAATTTCCGAATACGCAACTAATCTCTTCTCATTAATCGATGAAAATTTTGTCGTGCCCCCCTCCCCTCCTCTCCGGAGGAGGTTTTGCGACACCACCGACGTTATACAGGTGTTTCGAGCTTGTGACCATATAAAGCACACGATGCCATTGACCACAGAATCAATGTGAAAGAAAAAACTTCAAGACTGTGAAATCCATCAATGGCTAGCGGAACAATTACAAATACTTTTTGCATGTACAGTAACAGGCGATTGGAGAAGTTTCGCTAGAGGGTGGGGGTTTTTCATTCCGTTTGAGTAGGGGATTTTTCAAACGACCAGTTCTCTGGGTAGCTACTGGACATCTATTAGAAAAGCGTCACTTCTTGTTTCTCTCCTTTTAGAAAATTCTGCGATGATAAATTCTTGTAATCTCATACAAGGATCACATCTTGGCTTTGGAGAGCTTGAAATCGTCAATACATTCGTGGATCGCATGCATGTGATACGGTGCATATCTCGACAATTCTAACCGTGACTCAACTACTTTTTTTTATTTTCATAATTCTCTCTTATTGCGAGGTGATACATTTTTACTACTCCTCTTTGCGCTCGATTTTGCTCACGTGGTCCCCTTCCCTTCTCCAATCCCTCCCCATCCTCCTCATCTCTTCTCTTTCAGATATGAGTGGAGTCAATAGCGGCAGAAGAGAAGAAGTTATGATACAACTTGTCTACTGAAAATGAATTTTACAGCTGAATCAATCAAGATGACACAAGGTCTTTTTGCATAAGACATCTCTTTTATAAAAATTCGATCAAAAAATCAACCAATAGGTAAAACAAGTATTATTATATATAAAACTGCAATTGAGATGTGGGTATGGGCGGCATTCCATCGAGGTCGTCTCCATGGTGGCTCTGTCGGCGGATGTTCGAGGCCATAGATACGACAGCAATCTAGTCCACAACAATATTCAGCATATCGTTGGCATCTGAAGTAGAAAAAGCTCAGGTTAAGAAAAAAATTGAAAACTTTTCAATTTTGTTTTCGCCTATGGTTTGATGGGCATGGAGGAAGTGTCGAAATGCGAATGTACATGCAAAACATATCGTTAGTAAAGCAGATACCGCTCCTTTTCGACCACGGGCTTTATAGAATAGTTGTAGGAGTGGAGAATAAGGGTTAAAGGCAGTGTCCGGGCAAAAACTCGATTTTGAGATTTTGTGTTTACTTGGGCCTATTCGCTATGCTGAATCCGAATATCTACATCGGAGAGCGCGAAAACGACGAAAAAGGGCTCTAACACTGGAGGGAAATCAGCAAGTGGGCGGGGTCTTCCCCACTATGAATTCACGCTCCCAGCTTCGGGAGCGATCTTTTTGATTCCGGTTTCAAGTCATTCGTTTGCATTTGATCGGTAGTGATGTCAGGGCGGCTAGCGGATTCGAGAAAATTGCTCTGGAAGCTGGAAGTGTGAATTCACAGTGGGGAAGACCCCGCCCACTTGCTGATTCCCCTACAGTGTTAGAGCCCTTCTTCGTCGTTTTCGCGCTCTCCGATGTGGATTTTCGGATTCAGCATAGCGAATAGGCCCGGGTAAGCACAAAATCTCAAAATCGAGTTCTTGCCCGGACACTGCCTTTAACGAGGGGGGGGGGAAGAGAGGAAACAATCGTCATATACATACTGCACGTTGTTAGGTCGTCTCGATAATATATAAAAATCTTTGCTCCCTGTTCGATGAATAGAAGGAGGAGGCGATGGTACGTGAGAAGAATTTGAGGGAAACTGTCAAGCAAACTGGATATGAAATGTAAACTCACTGGTAGATTATGTCATAAATAGGCAGGCCATCTTCATAAACTAAATTTCTTCTTTCCATGGCATTCATACGGTAAGCGCAAGTATTCCTAGACGCCCAGTAGTAATCATTATCCTGAAAACAGCAATGATTACGGAATAAGCAAGTAAATGTGATGATTGATATTATAATGCGATAACAACATTTGCGCGGAAGAAAAATGCAGTTTATGAAGGCCGACAACTTGCTTGCGAGTTGCACGTAAAAAATGACCGTCGTACTGGTTACGCGCAAATGTTGCCCACAGTGCAAGAACACTGTATCAATAAAATTCACTGAGCTATTTTTCTGAATATTATTTTGAGCAAAATTGATTTGTAAATGGAAGAATGGCTTACCAAACGATAATGACGATCCCCAAGCCAATAACTTCTTCGGGTTTTCTCAACGAACACCCTGTCATTGAACATTTTTACTCGCCAGACAGCAAAGCCTCCCAGCAGCTGTTGGGTGATGATTCGATAGATTTCAGCATTTGTGGCGTTATTTCCATCCGTAGCAGGGGTTCCGGATAGAGATCTGTAATGGATCGATGTGATTGAACTTTTCACTAACACTTTGTCAGCAAATCAAATTTCAAGGAAAAACTGAGTCTGAAAAATGGGGAAAATGATTGTTTAAAAATTATGGAAAATTTTTTTACCGTGTTTGCTGCTGATGATATTGACTGTCAATAACAGAAAATAAAAGCACAAGAAAAGAAGCTAGCCGCTCGACTGACGCCATCTTCGCTAGAACGCGATCGATTCCGATGAGCAAACAATGGTAGCCAGCTGGTTGGCTAACCTCCCATTTACCTTACCTCGCTTGTTATGGGATTAATCCAGGATTTGTATAATAATAATTTGGCAACCTATCCCCCCTCATAGAAATGAATCATGGCAAGTAATAACCATTGCACATGTTGAGAATGACAAATATAATGTATGGCCATTCCTTAAGTAGAGAATTGGAACCATTGCAGGATTTTCTTTTTCTTTCATCTTGTTGTGATCAACCTATCCACACTGGACTGATTCAAAAGTTTCGCTGATTCGGCAATCAAAAGCAAATCAAGGTCCTTTCCTTTTATTACAGACCTTTTTTTTGTAAGAAAAATTTCATGAAGTTTGTAACCTTAGTATTACTGTTCAGCTGGCCCTCTCGGCTATTGTACTAGGAGCAGATGGTATTGAAAAGAAAACAATGGCCAACGATTTTTTTGAAAACAATTATATCAAAAATTTGTACTCAAAAAAGATAGAATATTTGTAACAACTAAGTGAGTGATTGTCTGTCTCATATTGTTCATTAGGAAGTAAAAGCCAGCTTCCGAATGTGAATGATTCTGTTTATCTAGGTATAACGTTATAGACGTCTAAGGAAAAAAGCTGCGCTTGTATTCTCGCAAAGAATAAAGAAGAATTCGCATTTCGACATACATCTTTTAGTGTGAAATCTCACATTAAACGAACGTGTGCGCCAAATATCCTTCCTTTGTAAGATTCACACAAAAAAATGGTAAAAAGTTCGGTCAAAATTGTTCAAGTTTTGCTTCCCTCATTCAAGACAAAAGAACTATTCATTAGTTTGGTGAGAGTACAAAGCACACAGATTGCTCTCATGAGTTCTGAAGCTTCATCTGCTAGACTTTCCCGTAAGCAACTTTTATTGACACACAAACATGGCAAGACATTTTAAAAAATTGCAATCTGCTTGTATTTACATTCCAATCAGTCTGGTAGTGAGTTTGAGTCACCTTTTATTTGGCGCGGAAACTCGCAGATGTCTGTCTCCCTATAATAGCTTAATAGCACCGTCTTCCATTTGTGAACTAACTTACCAGCAAGTTGGTATCATTTTGCGCTGTCAAAAACCAGATAAAATATAAAAAATGTGGCAACGAACTGGAAGCTTTTATGAATTATCCCTTGGACATTTAGTAGTAATTATCTGTGAGTAAGGCTGAATTACACCTTCTCACGTGCTTTCTTTATACACAACAACAAATTGATACAGTTCGGAAGCCGTGTCAGTCTATTTGTTTCTAGTTTTCTTATGTGGAAAATAGTGCGAGACACAAACTATAGCTCAGGTGCAGCTCATATGATTGACTCGTGCCGGAGAAATTTAGTTCTAAACTCTCGATTAGTACAATCGAAGACTTTGATTGGTCCTGTACCAAGGTTTACGGTTTGGACTCGTGTTAAGATCGAGACTTTCGGCCATAATGCTTCCGAGTTCCTGCTTAGGCTGTCCGAGATCTGCAAGTATTATATTTATGAGAAAGCCGGGTGTTCAGATGGTGAGCAAAGCCTTCTTCTAAAAATATTTTCAAGCACAAGAACAAGAAAGTAATATTTTCGTGTTTTTTTTTTGAGCGAGGATAACGTAGTTTTGTAAAATCGCTGCACTTTTCAGCGGTTACTTTTGCCGAAAATCATCAGAGGCAACGTAAGTTTTGCAAAGAAGAGTTAGAAGCAGTTGGAGTCACGTTTTACAGATTAATATTTTTGAAGTCAGTCTCAAGATATTTTTCTCCTAGTCAAAATGGAACACAATTTGTAAAAACAAGTCATTTGCTCGTTTTTCAACTCATGTAGACGTTGAATCAGTGATTCTAAGGCTATTTGAAATGTGATACGTTGTTCCATCGAGCACATATGGTCGCAACGCCAATGACCAAAAGTTCTCAAGAAGGGGCTGGGAGGGGGAATGGTGGGGGCGTACACGAGTAATAAGAGTGCTCATGTATTACATGGAAAATTGTCTTTACCAGAAAAACACGAACCACAAACATAGATAGAACAAACACAGGCATATAAACAAGACTTGTAAGCAGAAGCACGAATCAATAAAATTTGCAACCAAATAGCTGGTCCGAACGAACGAAAATTCTGCCATACGGATAGACACTAGAATAAACGACGTTGACACAAAAGGCTTTGATTCTGGATGAAAGTCGAACTCGAATGATTGAAATATAAGGTTTTCACTGAATTCCGAATCGATTTTATGAGGCGTTACAAACAAATATCATCAAAACTTTGATTCTAACTGTTATAGAGCCGTCCCTTATATTGGAACTTGCTCGCTCACTATAGGCTAGGTCGATATGGTCTCTGTGGTTGCGGCGTACCCGCCGCACCTTGATATATTTTGTGTGTTGTTCCTGAGCTATTTCTAGTGAACCCTCGGCATGTACGCCGATAGGCAGAGGGGGAACTGTTGTGTTTTTCTAATAAATCGTCAACGACTCAACGCGTTCCACAACAACTGGCGATCAGGATCAAGGACAAGAAGACCTCCACCGACCAAGGACCAGAAGAAGCTCCAGCTCCAGCGACCAAGGACCAGAAGCCTCGATCGATCAAGGACAAGAAGAATTGCAGCAGCTCAAATCGAGGAGGAACCCAACATCGGTCGAGGAGCTGGGAAGTAAGCTTTGCTAAGAAGTTATCGATTTAGCAAAATATTTCGTCGACACCAAAGAAGTCCATCATGCCGAAGGTCAGTGAAGAACGGCATGGTCACGACTCCTTAGAGAAGGTCCTATCAGTCATGGTCGACCAGATGCGGCTCCAGCAGGAGGAGATGAAGCTGCATATGCAGCTTCAACAGGAACAAATGCAAGCTCGACTACAAGCCCAGCAGGAACAAGTACAGATGCAGCTGCAAGCTCAGCAAGAGCAAATGAGGACGCTGATCTCCACCCTGGTCAGTAGTCAGGGAGCCGTCCAGGACACCAGCAAGGATCAGTACGATCAGCTGAGTAAGGACGTGCAAAGGTTCGTCTCAGACGAAGAAACAGGTAACACCTTTGCGTACTGGTATGGCCGATACGGACCGGTTATACGCGACTCCCAGCTTTCGGATCAGAAGAAGCGCGACTTAATCCTAATGAAGCTGGATGAAGAAGCATACCGGAAGTATGCTGATGAGGTCTTGCCTGCGCAACCGAGCGACTTGGACTTCGACACCACCACCACAATCTCCAGAAGCTGTTCGCCTCCAAGAAGACGCTCATCAGGAAACGGTATGAGTGCCTAAGGATAACCTGCCCTCCGCTTACTCCAGCGTACGTACCGTTCCGCGAGTACGCCAACACTATCAAGCGGATGGACGAGGACGCCCGGCTTAAGGAGGTCGACTACACGGCGATGAAGACGCTGCAGTTCGTAGCAGGCCTTCAAGATCCCTCGCTTAGGGAAGTTCGCCTTCGGATGATTCGTCGACTGGACGCTCACACGGACGAAGCACCGTTGACAATCGAGGACCTAGTCACGGATTGTGAGAACTTCACTGCTTTGAAAATGGATAACACAGACATGGAAGGCACACGCGACATCCATGCTGTGTGGAAGAAAAAGGTAAACTGTTTCTCATGTGGAGGACCACATTTCAGAAGAGACTGCCCACAGTCCGCCAGCACTGGCCGGAAGAAGCGATGGAGGATAAGTGCAAAACGCTTTGGTCGCAAAAGGCAGTGCAAGAACGTGGTCGCCTTCGATGCCGAGAGTGCGCGGACTTATCTCGACGTCGTAATCAAAGGATGCTCTCTCAAACTCCAGCTGGATACGGGCGCGGACATAACCCTGATATCGCGTAGAGCATGGAAGAGGATAGGATCTCCTGCTCTGGAAACATGTAGTATGCCAGTCAAAACTGCAGACGGAACGCCGATGCAGATCTATGGTAAATTTTCAACCGATTTCTCTGTTAGAGATCGACATACAGGAAAGATGGTTCATGGAAACGGCACATGCTACGTCACCGAAGGCTCGAACTTACTTGGATTGGAGTGGTGTATTCAGCTGCCGGCATATAAGAAGCTGAAGGACAACTACCACTGCAGGAAGGTGACTAGCGAAGAAAAATTTCGAGCCGAAGTGGTCGCTGAAGGAGCGATATGCAGAAGTCTTCAACAGCGATCTGGGGAAATGCACGAAGAGCAAGGCAAGGCTAGTTTTAAAGAGTGATGCTGTTCCAGTTTTCAAGAAGAAGCGACCGGTGCCTTACGCGACAGCACCGGAATTGGAAGCCGTGATCGATCGCTTGGCAGCTGAAGGAGTCATTTCTCCGGTCGAACACTCAGAATGGGCCGCACCGGTGGTTGCTGTCAAGAAGAAGAACGGGAAAATCCGTCTTTGTGCCGACTTCTCGACAGGATTGAACGATGCATTGCAATTGCATCAGCACCCATTGCCCACAGCGGAGGAAGTGTTCGCAAAACTAAATGGAGGCCAGCTCTTCACACAGCTCGACTTAGCCGAAGCGTATTTACAAGTGGAAGTCGAAGAAGCATCAAAGGAGATGTTAACCATCAATACGCACAAGGGATTGTATCGCTACAATCGCCTACCCTTTGGGGTGAAATCTGCGCCAGGAATTTTCCAACAAGTAATGGACTCCATGATAAGCGGACTTGATGGAGTAGCCGCTTATCTTGATGACATCATCATCACGGGACGGAGTTGTGAAGAACACCGCCAAAACTTGGAAGCCTTGTTTAAGAGAATCAAGGACTATGGATTCCACGTCAGGTTGGAAAAATGCCATTTTCTGATGCCAGAGATTTGTTACTTAGGGTGCATCATCGACAAAAATGGACGCCGGCCGGACCCAAAGAAGATTGAGGTCATACAGCAAATGCCAGCGCCGAAGAACATAGCGGATGTTCGTTCATTCCTGGGCATGATCAACTACTATGGATTATTTGTGGCCGAGATGCGTCAACTTCGTGCACC